ATATATATATATATATATATATATATATATATATATATATATATATACACACTAAAATAAATACAGTAGTCCCTTGCTACTTTGCAATTCTTTTTTTGCAGACTCGCTCTATTGCAGTTTTTCTAAGTAAGATTGGACATGACACACAATTGGCTGATTGATGGATGAGCTGCATGATCAGCATAGAATAATAAAACATATTTAAAATAAATTATTTAGCACCTGCTGCACCTGTGTGCAGCCCACAGCTGCAGGGAGAAGCTCCCTCCTGCAGCGTGTCAGATCTATCTCCGCTCTGCAGTGGAGAAGTGGGTGTGGCCAAGAGAGCTGGCAGGTGGCAGAGAGCAGGAGAGCAGCCAGAGTCAGAGAGCTGAGATCAAATCATGACATGCTTTTAGAGCGTTTACAGTTTAGAAAATTGTTAGGGACATTGCAAGAGTGTGGGAAGGATTTAAAACACCTTAATATATACTGTACATGTATATAAATACTAAAATAAACTACTACTACTTGTGTACATAATTTTGTTCCACCTCATTCACCACATGAGATGGTAATGGCAATAAAGTTTACTGTACTTGAATTTGGACTACTATATCCCTACTTCACAGATTTTCATTTATCTCGGGGTGGTGTGGTCCCTAATCCCCATGATAAACGAGGGACTACTGTATATACTAGCTAGATATACACCCCATGAAAAGTGTTTGTATTTGTGTTGTGAATGACTTACAAACGCTACAGGGTCATTGCTCCTAGTTCCAATGATACTGAACCTTTCCACCACAGTGTTCTTCATCAGAGCTTCAGCGTACGCCTTCAAGGTCAGGATGGGAATATTCTGCATACAAAAAGCACAATTACTACATCAGCAGGTAGAAATGATTTGTTTATATTTCCAGTACATGTAAAACAACACTTTGGTAATAAAGTTTCTACTGTTCTGAATTCCATTAAATGTTTTACAAACATAACCATATCATGTATTTCAGCTAACAAATTGCTCTAATGGTAATCTTCAAACTATTACGTCAACTCTACCTTGTTTTCTTAAATCAGCCCAATATTCTCACCTTTATGTTGTTAAGATTAACTTCCACCAGGTCAGGATCGTTCCTCTTTAGTCTCATGAGCGTTTCCTCGACATCAGTGGAGTTGGGCTCCTCATCGGGAACTGGTTTATACTGGGTGCACTGGATCACACCTGGGAAACAACACAGGAAACTATACAATTCACCCAGACTCTAGTTGGGATCTGTTTAAACAAGTTGTATTGATACGTTTGACACATTTATATTCAGAAGAAACCAGTTTTTAAATCTCAATTGATTGGGAGGTTGTTTTTGTTTGTTTTTTAACTGCCAAAACGTTATAGCTTTTTTTAAGTATATTTTTTGTTGATATTTTGAGATTATGTTGATTTTTTTTTTTTTTACAATTTTCTTCCATGAAGCCTGACTTAAAAGTAACTTTAAAGTGGCCTTGATCAGATGTTCTTCAGGGGCCTCATGAAAAACAAAAGTGTGCAGCTTTCATACTGAAAGTTAGCTTAGGAGCAAAATGTGAAATGTGAGTACGCACAAACATATTAAAATGAATCAAACCGTACACTCAAATGTTTCCAGACACCTTATCTTCATACAGCTCAAACTAAATGGAACTGAGAGCACATGAGACACCTCCCCTGACAAGCCTCTCTTTAAATATGCAAATAGATTTAAATATGTTCTGCATGTCAAAAAAGAGCTTTTCTTCCCACAGACCAGGAACATGCATGTTAGGCTGATTGGTAACTCTAATTGTCTCTAGCTGTGAGTGAGAGAGTGAATGGTTGTTTGTCGTGTTTGTCTCCATGTGTCCTTGTGATGGACTGAAGACCAGTCCAGGGTGTCCCCCGCCTCTCACACAGTGATAGCTGGATATGAGCACCAGTGACCTAAAATGTCCACCTTTATTACAACTGTTTTAACAATTAAAATGAAATTACTGTGAAAAATATATTTAATGATTTTACAGTGAAGAAAACGGACTACAAAAGACAACACTTCCACACAGTTACACATCATCCTTCTCCATCAGCACTAAAAATAAATCAACTACAAATGTGAACAAACTGTTCCAAGCAGGGACTCTTTACCTGCTAGTCATATTTGGTAGTTACATATTCAGTGTTCAGTTGTGTTTAGAGATGGAGGAGATGCTGTACGATGAGCCCAGTGGTTTCTAAATTGCGTGTGGGTGTCTGTGTGATGGAGGGATAAAAGCATTCTTTACAATAGTTTATAAAATAAAATATAAACACACGACTGTATTCCTGGAGAAGCATTAAAATGGTGTTTGGACGTCTGCATAAATTGACTCTAATCTTGGTGCTTAACAGGTTTTACCACGTTTTATCAGAGTTAGAATCGAGAACAAGAACATTGAGTCGGTTTTCTTGAACAAATTAAATCTTCATTTGAGATCATTGAATTTGAGCGTAAATTTTCTAGAGCCATGTCATATTTTCTTAGTACGCATTGTTTTGCTCGTTTTAGTTTTTAGAACTTAATTTTGGAAACTGTCAAGAGAGTACCAATCCAGATATTTCCAAAAGAATGTCCACTCACATGCAGCAATAACTAAAATTAAATGTTTCCATTAACTGTCGATCAGTCCTGCACACTGGCTTGGAGGAATTTTAGCCCATTCCTCTGTACAGAACAGCTTCAACTCTGTGATGTTGGTGGTTTCCTCACATTAACTGCTGCTTCAGGTCCTTCCACAACATCTGGATTGGATTAAGGTCAGTTGGTCATTCCAAAACATGAACTTTATTCTTCTTTAAACATTCTTTGGTAGAATGACTTGTGAGCTTAGGGTCATTGTCTTGTTGCATGACCCATCTTCTCTTGAGATTCAGTTCATGGACAGATGTCTTGATGTTTTCCTTTAGAATTCTCTGATATAATTCAGAATTCATTGTTCCATATTTTAGGTCATATTTATGCAGATATATAAAAAAATTCTAAAGGCTTCACAAACTTTCAAGCACCACTGTATATACAGTCACAGATAAATATGTTGGTACCTTAACAGCTCATTGAAACAATGCTTCATTTCTCATGAAAAGTGATTCAGTTAAAAGCAACTGTCTATGTCTGCATGCTTTTAGTAGATGAAGTAAACAAAAAAAAGTGAAAAGATATATATATATTTACAAATACAAGCTCAAATCATACAGATAGATTTTTGTATCCTTGCATTATCGTCATGTTTCAAACGGTGTTTGACTCTAGTTGGTTTAACTGGTGCCTTCATCAGCCATTCAGCCTATTTAAAGGAAACAGCTGCTGGGCAGTCTGGTATTGTTGTGTGCACCACACTGAACATGGAGCAGAGAGAGTCAAGGTGAGAACTGGCTGAAGAGATCCCAAAGAAGGTTGTAGATATCCATGTAAAAGGAAAAAAAACACAAAACCATTTCCAAGCAGACCACAGCTGCTAATATTATTAAAAATGATAAAGTCTAATAGAACTGTAGCGAGGCAAAACTATAGCTTCATTGGCTCTAGTCACATCAGTTGTTTGTTTATTTTCTTCTTTCGGCTGCTCCCTTCTTCATGGGTCGCCACACCAAACTAACTCACACGAAGACTTGGCAATTGTTTTTACGCCGAATGCCCTTCCTGACAACCACAGACTACCGAGCTACCACACAGCCCTCTGTGTGGAGCAGATGGTGGGGGTTAAGGGCCTTGCTCAAGGGGCCCAGAATGGGGCAAATGAGAGTGGAGACAGGTGTGGGTGCTTCACCTATCCCACCCACATTTTGATGTTGTCGGTCCTCGGATTTGGACCGGCGACCTTCCGATCACAGACTCACCTTCTATAACCTTTGCGCCACCACTTTCCCCATTATTAATATTATTATTATTGTGGAAGGTTGCCATCAAATATAATCACATCTGTATGTAGGAGTGCATAGTGTGTTTAACGTACTGTTAAGGCCTTGCTTGTTGACTATGGTGCTGCTGGCCAGGGCCTCATAGTACTGCTGGTTACTCATCAGGGTGTGCATGCCCAGGATGGCTGGAAAACCACAGGATAACAGAGGAAACATTAACTGAAGGAACGGCGGAAAGAGAGAGAGTAGCACTCTACAGACATCACTGTGCAGATTTTAGCATTTGTTGACACAGAATCACTTACATACAAACAGCCAAAAAGCACTTCATCATCACAAGCACATTAAATGGTTGAAGGTTGACATTGTTCTTCCATTTGACATCACATTCTAAGGTTTAAATGACGCTTCACAGTTTTGTTTTGTTTTGACCTGACGGCAGAGACGTTTAATACTTTCATCTTCTACCGTATATTACAGCATATTAGTGCAGAAATTATATCAATATAAATTATACCTTAAAATTAAATAAATTTAGCTTGTTTTATTTATATAAGTAATAATTATATCAAGAAATTGTACAAATTCTGTGTATTTTTATGGCAAAATAACAGATTTGAGTGAAAAAGAGCATTAATGTAGAATTTTTCACCTGCGTCTCATAAGTAATAATAAAAAGTATTACGTTAGTTTATATATCCTGATGCATGCTCAATAATCCATGTAGAGAAATCTAAAAGTTAAGTCAGGTCCTCTGGACGGATTCAAAAAATAATAAAAATTAAAATTTAAAACTTGCTGAAACGCTTCGTCTTTTATCCAAAAGACTTTGACAGTCTGAGGAGGTGCAACAAACTCAGTCTTAGGTATAATAATAATAAGGTGATATTTACTTTGTTAGAATTTGTTTATATAGTTTCATTTATTAAGAAACATTTATGAAAGCAGTAATTTGATAAGATTATGTTGAACAATGTGTAATAATAAGTATGAAACATCTGCGTGGTGCTGCCATCATGCATACAGGAAGTTACAAGCCTCCGTTTTTTATTAGTTGTAGTTGTGGCTAAATTATACATTTTAATTACATTAAGCTAATTGTGACAGTAAAAGTCGCTACAACCTTTTTTTTTAATCAGCAGAAGAGTTTAAAAAGATATGAATCCAATAAAATTTGCAAAAAAAGCTTTACACAAACAAATGCTTTGCACATTTGATAATTAATTTTCCAGCGTATTTTCAGCATGTTTTTGTTTAAATGTTGACTCATAACAAAAAAATAACTTGAACATGACAGACAAAAGCAACTGTTTCATGCAAACAGTGAGGTGTCACCAGATACCCAGGATGATGCTCAGCTAATGGACAAAGAGATCCAGAAGTAGGGAAGGAGGAGAAAATGGAGAGACCAGTGGAGAGATGGAGGGTGAGGGTGGAGGTGGAGGGGGGATGGAAGGAGTGCTGAAGGAAATGAAGGAATTCACAAGTTAGACTGAGGATAGTTAAGACCAACAAAGGCTGGTTAAGGATGTCTTTACACTGATAAGAGGATGAAAAAAAAGTTAAGATACATGAGCTGACATACTGAGCGAGACAAATTAATTGGAATATCAAAAATTAATGTATTAGAGTGCACACCTTTAAGCAGTTTTGTCCCGGTTTATTTTAATGCTGTTTAAAGTCTTGCTTGATCCCTTTCAAAAAGTCATATTTGGTGGAATAAAACACACAACCACTTTGTCTACTGTTTATATAGCATGATGTAGAAAGTTCAGAAAGCAGAGGTGTAATAGGACACGTTACCTGCAATATCACAAAGTTCTGCATCAGAAGCACTGGCCAGGGCTTCCTCCAGCTCCGGCTCTAGAGTAACACTTTCTATGATTGGATCCACCATCTTTTTAGGGACCCAAGCTTTCCCTGTGCGATGAGAAAAAAATATATATAATCTACTATCAATGACTGAATTTTGCGTTGTCACAAAATGTGACTTGTACTTAGGAGACAGCACAGTCAGATGTTCTAACGCTGATTCTTTCAAGGAGTAAGCCAATGACTAAGACTTCTGCACACCAATAAAGTGAAAGTTCTCCTGCCACCCCAGCTCCAAAGGTTTAATCAAATGAAAATATTAACACATTTGTGTTGTAGTTATGCAAACAGGTGAGACAAAGTTGCAAAAATGTGTTCAGTTAAAGCATAGCTATGTTGCATACAGTAGTCCATCACTTAGCGCGGGGGTTACGTTCCAGACATCCTTATGATAGGTGAAAATCCACAAAGTAGGGACGTTATATTTATTTTAGTATTTATATACATTTTAAGGTTTTATAAACCCTTCCCACACTATGCAATGTTCTTAGCAATGTTCTAAACTCTCTAAATGCTCTACAAGAGCACAGCGAAAGAGAGCAGACAGACTGATGCTACGGTTACTGAGAATCAGCGCTCGGAGGCAGGCTGGCCATCATGAGCACCAGGACATTTCCTGGTGGCCTGGCCTGCTCAGTAGTCGCCAAGAGGGACTAAAGGCTCGGTTTGGGTTGCACTTGATTATTTGATTATCATTATCATGGACGCTGCCTGTCATGGTGCGCTAAGATTCATAACTGGCTGTAACTACCGTACACACCATTGCACCCTGTATTCACTGGTTAACTGGTCATCATTAACTTCATATAGACTCTCTCATTGGTACATTTTCATCTTTAAATCACTTCTTGGTCTGTTGCCTTCATACATCTCCTCCTACATGTCTCTGCGTGAGTGTAGCTACAGCGTGTGCTCTCAGTGCAGACTGAACTAGGTAAAAGGGCATTCTCCTACTCTGCTCCTGTTTCCTGGAATATCTTGCAAAAAGATCTGGAGCTCTCAATCTTGACCTCTCTAAGTGGCTTCAAACATCTGCTAAGTTCGTGGGAAAAACCAACGCAGACATGTTCCTGTTTTTAGTTTTCTACATTGCAGTACAATCTAGCTGTTTTTTTGTTACTTTTTTTAAAATACCATTTTATTTTCACTTGTTATTCTCAATTTGTATGCATCCTTTATGATTGTCTATTGTTGTCATCACTCTTTGTTAAAATCAGGTCTCTCTTGTAAATGGCTCAATGGGATTAACCTGTATAAATAAAGGTTGAATGAATTTTCAGTGAACAATCCAAGCCATTCCTGCGCTTCACTCAGGTATAAGACATACCCCCATCACCCCCTCCTTTCTTTTTCCCGAGGTTGCCTGTTGCACGCCCACCTGCAACAGACAGCTTTAGAAAGAGAAAGGGGGAGAAGGGTCTGTCTTATACCTGAGTAAGCCACGCTCAGCCACTCTCTCCCTTTTTAAAATCTGATTCACTCTTATTTTTCCACCTAAGCATTTTCTGTGATATTCTACAATTGTTCATCTTATCTGTTCATCCCTGCTCACTGAGCAGTTGCGATGGGGAAAGACAGACTCCACCCCCTTCTTTATATTTCTGAGGCTGTCTCTGCTGTGACAGACAGCCTCAGAAAGAGAAAGAAAGGAAGGGGGTGGGGTCTGTCTTTTCCCATCACTAATCATGTGTTGTGTACAATCTTATGTTGAAAACCCACAAGAGTGAGTTCGCGAAAGTTGAACCACGAAAAATCAAGAGACTATCTTATTATCCCATAAAACTATGAACTATTGTGTCTGACTGTAAAGACAAAACTATTTTGGGTTTTGTTATTAAAGATATTCTAATGAATTTGTGTGTGTTGCTTCATTCAGGCAGATTTCTTTCAGCCATTGTTTTAAACGCCGGCTTAAAAGTAGAAAGCTACAAAGATGTATCCCAAAAGACACTGACAGATTCTACCAAGCAATAAATCCCAACAAAAAGTTGCAACAAGCAGATAGAACTCTGTTTAGGAGTTCAGCTGAAAATGTAACAGCAGCAGATGAAAATGTGAAAAACTACAGCTGGAAGAGCTTCTGGAGTTTTACCACACTCTCACTCTCACACTCACACTCACACTCACTCACGCACTCTCTCTCTCACTCTTTCTCTCTCTCACACACACACACACACACACACCTTTGAGTACATTTGACTGAACAGCTGGACAGACCTCTGAGGATGTGACGAAAGTTAATGTTTACGCTTAAATTTTCCTTTCTCAACTAAAATAAATAATTTGAAGAAAAGTGTTTTTTGCAACATTTAAGGAATTCAAATAGTAATAAATTTATTGCCATTTTTCTAATGTGCCCATTCAACAATGCAATTTCTTACCATAAAATTGCATCTCTTACCCCTCTTTTCCCCAGTGTACGGCACCAGGTCTTCTTGATCAGGATGCTCTTTGGCCTGTTTCTCCAGATGGGCCAGCAGGTTGTCTCGTTGAAAGGTTCCTGTTGGTGCTTTCTTGGTCTGGTCTTTCTGCCGAAGACCAGCAGGCAACAATGCGTTCTAGAAGAGGATGATAATTTACATTATTTAAAAGACTGGCTTTACAGACTGCTCAAACAATCCCTTCCTATTAGATATCTGAGTATTACTACTGAGCAGATGTGTTGTCATATGGGTTATATAGTAAAATGTAAATATTTGATCTGCCCATTTTAACCCATTTGTTATTTTACTTGAACATAAATAGTACAGAGTGAACGAGCTGAAACAATACTCTATTCAGTCTCTTGGAAACTAGAGTCTGTTCTGACCTGGAACCACAGACACAATCACTCAGAACCAAACTGATGCATTTCTACAACAGCTCTATCCCAAGGAATATACTATGCTGGGGCCCTCCAGGGCTTAGTCACAGCCCAGAGCTTTAGAATCATGGTTTACTTTCTCATATTTAGGCCAATTATCTTAATATTTTTATCTCTCAGCTTTGTCAAGAATGGCACTTTTTGCAACAATGGTTTAAGAAAATTCTAAATACTTTATCATTTACATAAATTATTCACTGTATTGTCAAAAATGTTTTCCCTTCATAATTTGTAGGTTCTTCAAATCAAAGAAAAAGTCTGAATAAATGTGTTTTATTTCTCCAAAGTTACATTTTTTTGCAAAAGGTTTTAGTTCACTTTGGATTATTTAGTATGTGATATGTCAGATTATAAAGTCTAAGCACAGTAAATGTGGTGAATCCACTGCAGCCATCAAAACACCACCACATCACATGATTTATGCTACTAGAGCTTAGTGACTTTTTAGTTAACAGTTTTCTTAGTTCATATCTTAGATCTTATTACTGTTTTTCTTTACATTTTAATACTTTTGTTGGATGTAACTGGGACCCTGTGTACACAATTTCTTTCCACCACATGTACCACATGTGGTGTGAACAACAAATAAAGAACCTTTAATCCTTGGATATCCCAACCTGTTCACTGGTTCTTTCACAGCATCTTCTACTTATTTATTTGGATGTTTGTTTCCAGAAATTAAGCACATGCCCCTTTATATTCCTAAAGTCATTATCTCATTTACGGACATCTATAGCTATTTCTTGTAACTACTATTTTAGGCTGTGAAATAGCCTAGTTTTAGTAAAAAAATAATCCCTGGAACATTGTAACAAGTTAAAAAAAAAAGACATTCTGTTGGTAAAAACTATCCTAGATGTAGACAAACATTAACCTGTTTAAACTATTTCAGTAGAGAAGTATATTGCCGTGGAGTAAAAATGACTTGTTTTAGAATGTTTTAAGTATGTTGTTCTGCAACAAGATTTAAGAGCTACTGGCTGCCAGAAAAAAAATCGTATTTTAGACCTGAATAAGGATTATTTTTATCTTGTTTGTGAGGATTGTTCCAACTAATCTAGTTAAAACATTGCAATCATCTGGACACTTGTGTTATGTGTCCTTTGAGCCATTTCTTGACATACAGATCATTAAATATTTGGGGGCTCGTCCGGGATTTTAACCCAGGATCCGGTTTCGTGGGCTAATATTTTTATAGTGTTTTATCATGCGTATGCGAGATATCCCTTAGAAGTAGTGGGGTTTTTGTTTTCTCGTTGGCAGAAAACCAATTGTAGTTGAAAACAGTTTTGAATTTGTGAATATGCTTATTCACAATTAAAATATGTAAAAAAAACTGAAGAAACAGATGCTGCAGTGCTGGCAATTATAACTCTTATATCAGTCACTAACTCTGCTTCATCTTAACACAGGATCAAGAAGTTTCCCAAACCACAGTTTCACAAAAGTTATTTTCAACCAATCAGATGAGCTCTTGATGCTACTTATAGCTTCAAATCTTATCTGTGCTCTCAACACCCAAAGGCCTCTGTAGTCACTGGTTTGCATCTCTTTCTGCTTGATTCGGTTGTTCCTCTTACTGCAGTCACTTTCCTTTTATTCAAAGCCTTCATGCTAAAATATTGATAGTGGAGCAAATAACTTCTTAACACTTTGCAACACGACAGAAGTATGTGGTTCTCCATACCTGCCAAGCTTTTTGATTGTGCCACACAGTTATATCAGGTGTAGCTGACAGGTTTCAGTCACAACGTATTTTTAACAACAGTGGACTCACTCTTCGTTTCATCAGCCCACTCGTAATATATGAGGCACAACAGTAACATGTACAGTAGCTTTCTCTTCATGCACAAGATAAATTAGACCATTTTGATAACTTAAGGAAATGGAAAAAGTCACCATTTCAAACTATAGGTGAAAGTATTTTGGACTAATTGAGATCCAAATAAAAAAAGTTAGCAGCAGCACTGTTGGCACTGATTCAATGTTTTCTGTTGAGCATAAAGCACACCACACTCTTCTTCTCCTCGTATTTTTAACTTTGTTCTTGTTCTCAGCCAACTCATCGCACAAACATCTGTCTCTCCGGCAGCTAAACTTGTCATTAAGCTCAAGGCAGTCGTTTACCTTGTCGGCAAATGTTTAACTACCGTATTTTTTGGACTATAAGGCGCACCAGATCATAAGGCGCATTAAGCAAAACAAAACAGTCCGATAAGTCAAACTTTATTCAGCTCATTCGCAATAACCACATAAAATCAGTTCAAGGTCAGTAAGTCCAACCAGAATTAATACATAAAGTGCACCGGATTATAAGGCTCACTGTTGATTTTTGAGAAAATTAAAGGATTTTAAGTGCCCCTGATAGTCTGAAAAATACGGTACTGAGCTGGAAAATACTGCAAGTTATTTAGTGTTGGACTTGTTTTCATTTATGGAGATATGAAAATAAAACTGCAGCTCTCACGGAAAAGTAATTTAAGGTGTTTAACAATAGTATTAAGCCATGGATTAAAACTAAAAGTTGGAACACGTATTCAATGATGAAACAAAAATCAGAGTTCAAGCTTTAGACTTGAGGATGTATCTCAACAGAAGTAAATGCAATGAACAAGGCTGAGATTAAGTGTGTGACTGTGAGGAGACACTGTACTAAATGTTCTTTTTATGACTTATTAATTTAGGCACAGCTGACAAACTTGTTTTTCTGTCCTACATGAGACTTGTGCAGATGTTTTACTAGAAGTGATGTGGACTGCCTCACTACGAACGCCATGTTTTAACGCAAATGGGCACTTTACTGTGGCGTAAGCTCATGAACAGGCACAAACAAGGCAAGCATGCACGCACACGCTGTGTCTACTGTTTACGTCATAGAGCTCCTGCAGTTGCTCACTGCTGGCATCAGCCTCACCAATACACACTCACACACACAGTATAACCTTCCAGTCATCCCACTGGCATTGAGGGGGACTCCTGTCTTTTTATAAGCAGTCAGACATTCATCTGAAAGCTATTATAGCTGCTGTCTGCAGCGCAGCTCACAATCAATCACGGAGTGTTTTCTTAGTGCGTGCAGAAATTAAAACATCTGAAAGATCAACAGACAGACGACACAATCATTAATGATGTACTGCACTTGATGCAGCTCAGTATGAAAGCAAAATAAATTTAAATAAACTTTTTTTTCCCCTGTATAATAACTGTAACTAATGTAAGGTTGTTTAACTATTTCCTCTGCTTTCTACATGAACTGGTTTGCACTTCAAATGATTAGGACAATATTTTACTTATAGTAGATTTTTGGCATTGCTTAAATTTTTATATAAACAAAAAAAACACTGATTTACAGTCATGGTATGAATTTATCTAGACCAGTGGTTCTCAAGCTTTTCGAGTTTTGGCTCAAAAAATTAACATTGCGGATTCTTGTGACCCTGATTATTGGTTAAGTATACAAGCATTATACAATGAACAAAAATATAAATGCAAAACCAACAGGCCTTTTTCTCTCAAATATTGTTCACAATTTTGTGTAAATCTGTGTTAGTGAGCACTTCGCTTTTGCCTAAATAATCCATCCACCTCACAGGTGTGGAATATCAAGATGCTGATTAGACAGCAAAGTTATTGCACAGGTGTGCCTTAGGCTGACCACAATAAAAGGCCAATCTAAAATGTGCAAGTTTGTCACAGTTCAATGCTGCAGATGTTGCGCGTTTGAGACAGAGAGAGAATTTGACAGTACATCCAACCAGCCTCACAACCGCAGACCACGTGTAACCACATCAGCCCAGGACCTCCACATCCAGCATCTTCATCTCCAAGAACATCTGAGACAAGCTGCTGCAACAATCGGTTTGTATAACCAAATAATTTCTGCACAAACTGTCAGAGACCGTCTCGGAAAAGCTCATCTCCTTGTTCGTCATCCTCATCGAGGTCTCCACCTGACTGCAGTTTGTCGTTGTAACTGACTTGAGTGGGCAAATGCTCACTTTTGATGGAGTATGGCACGTTGGAGAGGTGTTCTTTTCACAGATGAATGCCTGTTTTCACTGTATAGGGCAGATGGCAGACTGCATGTATAGCGTCAGGTGGATGAGCGGTTGTGGCCCACGGTGGCAGTGGAGTTATGGTATGGGCAGATGTATGTAATGGACAAGGAATGCTGGCGCATTTTATTGATGGCATTTTGAATGCACAGAGATACCGTCATGAGATCCCGAGGCCCAGCAGTAAGACTATTCTAACACAGATTATTGTACTTTTCCCCATATAAGAATCAGAGTCAGAATAAACTTCATATAAGTTGCACCTTTTTGCATACATTTGCATGCCTTGCAACTTATTCGGCAAATAAACTTATTTACAATTTTTTTTTCTTCCCATAACCAAAATTTTGGCTGAGAGCTGACGATTTCATTCATTCTGACATGAAAAATATTGAACATTACCATTTTCAGCCACTAGAGGACCCTCAACAAATATGGCAAGGCAAGTGTCTCATTAATAGGTAAAAGTGGCTATTAATGAGTCACTTGGCTTGCCATACAAAGCCACCTTCATCTCGCTCCGGAACTCCTGCAGCAAACGTCAAATCAGATGCATTTCGCTGTGCCGCCTAGGCGAAATGCATCTGATTTGACCATTAAAGTGTATTTATTAATTTCAACTGAGACACCTTTACTATAATTTCTAGCAAACAAATAATTGTTTTTAGGTGGTTATCTTGTTAAATTTTTGTTAAAGTCCTCCCGTGCACGCTCCCGCAGTTGTCATTTGGCAGCCAATCGATTATTGGCACAACACCGGCCCACATTTCCGGGTTGTCAGCGGTGATGAATAACAAAAGCGATGCGTCAGCGGTGACGCATAATAAATGCGACTTATATGGCGAAGCGACTTATTTATGGTTCTTTCCCACTTTATTAGACTTATTTGGACTGATGTGACTTATACGGCGGTGCGACATGTATGGAGGCAAGTACGGTATTAAGCTTTGTACTGTTTGGTTGTGCAAACAACTTTTAAAACAGTCTCTCATTTGCCATGGCAATGATAGCATAAAAAGTTAACATGTATTTAACACTGAATAATTTCCTCACATGTTCCTGAAAGTACATTACAAGGTTTAGCATTTTGTAGAACTGCACTACCTAGAAACAAATATTACTAGCTAATGGGAATATAAATGATAACACAGTGAACCTGCACTAGATCTAGTTTCCTGCAGCACATTACATTAGAAGTTTCAATAAGACAGTATGACCCCATAACTCTCCAGTGAAGCCAACATACTGACACAATCTCCTCCTTACGGACTTAAATATTACAAACTTACGTCAGGATCAAGCTCCTCTAATTCATCCTCTAACCGCTGCAGCTCTTCCTCCGAGAGCTTCTTCAGCAGCTCGTCCTCATCTATGTCCCTGTACTTGTCCATCTCCTTCTTTAACACCGACATAATGAACAGCTCACCTGGAGAGAAAAGACGGCTTATGTTGGGAAATAAAACGAGAACATTCAATGTTAAATGGGAATGGTTAAGTCAAGCTTTTACTTGAACTGTCAGTATCACCTTCTTTGTTTAGTTTTCTCAAATTTCTAGACTTTGTGAACAAATATTTGTTGGTGAAAACAGCCAAAACACCAGACAAAAAGAATAAAATAAAACGATAAAACAACAAGGTGCTTGAATGACTGAAAAACAAAAGATTTAACAACGAAATGCAAAAGTAGGATTTATGCGTCCAATTATTGCTTTGGGACTTTCAATCAAATATGTCCAGTAGTTCATGAGGTATTTTGCTAACAAAACAGACAAACGAACACAGATAACTACATTATTGCTCACATTTTATGACAATAAAAAAAATACATGTATAACACAGTAACTGAGCGTCACTTCATGTTCCAGTTTCCGATGCTTACTACCTTGATCTCCACCGAAGAGGTCAAATAAAAAAGGTGACCAATTCCCTCGAAGTCCTTCTGGTTCACAACTGAAAGAGGCAGTGGTATGAGTGAGGAACATATTTCTATGTGTTGCTCTCCTGCTTTCATTTATTTCTATTTAAATACATTTCTATGCTTAAAAATATATTTTAAGGATTAGTTGACATGAGAACAGCAGATCAGCTAAATGCTAAATGCTGCGCTACAACTTTTGTTTTAGACTTCTGACTTTTTAAATTTCTTTTTTACTTTTCGGGATAGTTGTCAATGTTTAATATGTTGCAAATAGACTTAATTGCTTTGCTGTACAATTTAAAACTTAAAACAGTCTTACAAAGTTAAGTCAGGTCTTCTGGACAGATTCAAAACAATAATAAATAAATAAAAAACGTGCCTAATAGCCCCTTATAGTGGATCAACCAGTTTGCTGTTGACATCCAAAACCAGCTGTTCACATGATCCAGGAGGACCATCAACCTGATGACTGATCGTTAGTGCTCTGATGGTCGCTTGCTATTCACAGAGGACTGAGTGCAGTGTTGTCAGATCTTACGATAGAAACAAGCAACCAGCTCTATGAAAACAAGCATAGTTGCCAAGTTTGCTTATTATAAGTGACTTTGGGCTTGTTTTTTTCTAAAGTCGCTAGAAAAAGTCAATCTTGTGAGTCGCGTTTTTTTAGGCTTGTTTTGAACGTGAAGTTGCTTATTTGGACTTGACTTTCTTTCCGAGTGAAACTAGTTGATTATCTCCCAGTTCTGCACAACTAAGCAAAAGACGAGTGGTAGCACATAGTTTGTCCCTTCCATCGCTCCCGCCCAAGTTGGTGAGGCGAAAGGCTCTTGAATTTTGCTGTTGTTTATGTGTAATGCCATAATAAATGTATGTTCATACTGTTTAAAAACGGCCTCTGTTTTACACAACGTGGTGGGTTGCCAGTTGTGCTTGTTTTCATAGAGTTGGTTGTTTGTTTCTATCACGAGATCTGGCAACGCTGAATCAGATCATTGAAATACTTGGTTTATTTACATAATGACTTTAATCGCTGGATGTCCGGCCCCTGAGCTGCTGGCTTTCAGTAACTGTGACCCCCTGAGCAGTTTAGTTGAATAGTTCTGCTTTAGAGGGTGGAATACAGTTTATTCAATTTCCAAAACCTAAACTGAGTCAGGAAAAATGTAAAAGATGGGTAACGCTCTGTGGCCGACCGCAGCTGAATACGACAGTGATAAACAGGAAGTACTGCGTGTTCATTCAGTAAGAAGTAACTGCAAGTAAATCCTTTATTTTCTGTCATAATTACATTGTGTGCTTAATGCTTGAATTAATTCTTAAAGCTAATTGTCCTTTGTTTTGAGTGTTTTGTATATAGATATATGTTGCAAATTGTTGGCATAAATTTCGTCTTTGTTTGTTATGATCAGTTAACACTAAACTGATTTTGCACAAAGCATTTAATAGATTGTATAAAGTAAAGCAGGGCGCTACATCTGTAGCATCTTAGCTAGCACGCGTCTGTACTGCACGCCGCTAGCTTAGCGCTACTTCTTGTTGTGTTGAGCTCTCTAAAATGGTTATTGAATTAAGTGTTTACTTCATATTCTGATGCATGCTCAATAATCCAGGTAGAAAAATCCAAAAAAAAAAGTTCAATCTGGTCCTCTGGACATTCTGGACTTATGGAGGTAAACGTTTAACAACCTGTTAAAATACACCAGAATGCAGGAAATGGCATCTACTTTATTCAGAAATTCCTGGGGAAGGACGCCCAGACCCCCCCCCCACACACACACACACACACACACACACATTACAAATGCTTCTGACACCACCACGTTGTTCAAGCCAAGAGCCATTGTCAGCACTGGGGGGCTAAGCACCCCTAAAGGTCAGATTCTAGAATCGCCCCTGGTAAGAGCAGTGATGGCCATCAGGATATCATTTTTTTATCTTTAAAATTATGTTTTTAATAGATTGTTCTTTCACTAATAATATATCAGCTACGTGGGAGTGCTTGGCTTGGCACACCTTTTTTCTCTGAGTTCTTTGTTGAGGTAAGGCATGTTTAATTCCCCCTGACAAGTGTCCACCTGACATTACTGGGTCAAATAAAAATTAAAGCAAAAATGTAGAGTGCAAAGTTTATATTAAATCAAGAAAATGTTGCGTTCAGTCAATACAAATGTGTCATAAAACTTTCTATTAAATATCTATGTCGGCGAGTGTGTTTTGGCTACAATCCAGAGATTGAGTCGAGCGTGCTTTTCTTTTGTTCTGCTTTCACTTAGATCAATGACAGCTTTCCAAAACTTGGGATCAAGAACTGGGCTGAAGTCCAACTAACACTGCAAGACACCAACCTGACTTCATGACACCAAACAGGCCTTGCCTGTATTTAGATTTCTACTGTAAAAGTGGGACATTTACTGTGGAGAAGAGTAAAAAAACATTGAAAACAACCTGATCCACATGTTGAAGAGTTTGTTAGTTAGCATTGAAGAATTGAATATCTGAAACAGAATTGAAATTGATGCGAGTACATTTGAGAAATCTGGCAGCTTATCAGGGATGAACGCAGCCTTAAGAATCTAAAAAAAATAGTGTTTAGCTGTTCTTTAAAACTTCTTCAGTAACCCAAATCTTTGTAACCTTGTGGCTTTTGTTGCTTGTTTTACGAGATGCATGAGTTTTTGGAAACGTGTGACGTTAGAACTTTCATAACCAATAAACGAGCTAAAACAGAGCAGGAAGTGAGAAACGTGACTTTATGATGTGTCCTGTGTGGAGTGGCTCAAAACAGCTGACACATGAAATCAACCTTTAAACATTCAAGCACAAAGACTTTCGGAGAAAGAAAATAATTTCATGTCATGTTTCTGTGTTGTGCCGTATTTCAAGCCTTATTGTTGCAGCTGCAGCGTAAAAAACAGAAAGACTGAAAGAGGACTGCTCGAATACTTTAAAACAGCTGAGGGACAACTGTTTTACTTCTCTCTGTCGTGAGTTTCTGTCATGACTGCAATGGTCGGGGGTCCATTTACAGTCAGGAGTAAAATAAGTGACCATGATTAAATGATATCCACATAACTTTTACTGAACCTTTAACCGTTCATTGTCTTGAGGACATTAAATCCGTCTTTGCTATTTTTTAGTATATACTTCTAGGAAGGCCTTTGTGCATTCTGGAGGGGTCAAAACGTCAATGTTTAATCAAGCATCACTTCGATTGGAGGTGATTAACTTATACTTTTGCTTGTTTTATTTATTTATTTTTAGATGATGGGAGCATGCAGGATTTAGAGCAGAGGTGCCGAAAATGGGGCCCGTGGGCCAAAGTTGGCCCGCCAAGCAGTCCTCGTTACTATATATATATTAAAATGTCCTTTGAAGAATCAGTGTTTTCACTAAGTCATTCCACCCATTGACTTTGTTAGATGGAAAAGTCGGCCCATTGACTACAGTATATATGGGACTGTTTATGTTCATTTTAGTGATGCTGTTGGATTGTTTCACATTTTGCACTACATATAATTACACTGAAATGCCAAAAATTGCAATATTTGTTTTTATTTCTTATGACTTATTTGTTATATGTTGTGTTCTGTAATGTTCTTTATACAGAATGGAATATTAAATATCTGTATAATACATACATGGACTTTACATAAATAAGTATTTGCATTTTATGTATTATATTACTGCATTTGTCCCGCAGCCCTGTGACAGATTTTAAATTTGGCCCTCTCAGACAAAAAGTTTGGGCACCCCTGATTTAAAGGAAATGATGCAGCCACTGCAGTTAATGCGGAGTAGGGCAGGAAGTGTAGCATATATTACAGGGAAAACATTTAAAGACATATTTTACATTAAGTGTGAAAGTTAATTTTCTCCACGCAGTCTCTAAACTAACTTGACAAGAGTCTTCACGTTATTTGACTGCATTATTACCCGCACACTGGAAGTTTTACATTCATTTACGTACCTCCTCCGGCGCTATTAATAGCCAGTCGGGCCGGCTGGTGACAGCAACGAATACTTTGACCAGATATGGTTTCCCTCGGAGCCGCGGCGCGAGGTCCGCTCCGCTGCACGCGCACGAAGCTCGGGACTAAACTGCACTACACGAAGCCGTCCATGACCCGCGGGGAGACACGAAACCGGCGGATTTCAGCGTGCACACAGAGCCTCCTGCCCCGTTCCTGGTGGTCTCTTGGTGGGTTTGGGAAAACTGAATCTCGGCTCCCTCGAAGGGCAAACTTTGAGGAGATCCTCCTCCTCCTCCTCCACGCGGCTGCCCTGTCACTCGTGTGATGTCACGAAGAGGCGCTGCGTCCATTATCGGACGTGGAGCTTTTCCCGTCAAAAGCCAGGAGTGTATCAACTGGTGGCCCATGGGCCACTTCAAGTTTATTGAAGGGGGATTTCTCAGCAAGTAGGGGACTTTATAAACATAAACATTTATATGTGATATTTTTGCACTGTAAGACAAAAACAAGAAAAAGGTATAGTTCTTACCATTTTTATTTTAAAAATTAATAAAATCATATGCTGGTCTATGAGATCTTAGTGGAAAAATTAAGTATTGTACTACAGTTAAAGTGACTATAAAATTAGGCTACTTTATTAAGATTTTATTTTTTTCCATGTTTGACTCGATACGAGGCATTCCCCCTAAAAATATTCTGGTGATTTGAGAGAAAGAACAACATAAGTCTGGAAGTCGGCAAAAAAACGTGGTTAACAAACTATTAGCATGATGTAGTAAAATCATTTTACTAGTATAAGTACCATCATTTCTGGACTATAAGCTGCTACTTTTTTCATACGCTTTGAACACCACGGCTTATAAAATGCTGCGGCTACTTTATGGATTTTTTTTTGGGGATTTTTTTAGACGGTCTAATTAGCTTCATGTCGCCAAAACATTTGGTCTCGTCACCCATGACTCAATGAGACAACCTGTAAAAATAAATGTAAAAAAAATCTGACCAAAATTACCGTACAGGTCAAAGTGTGTGGTATGCAGCAATGTGGTTGCATGA